TTTAGCCTTGAAATTTATAATGTGACTAAGTCTTTCTTGTAAGTGCCAAGGGATGCTGCAAATGGATGACTATTCAGTTTGAATTGAATAATAAATAAAAATACGTTAACGATTGCAGGAGAGGTTCCTTGTGTTGTCACGAACCCAGCTCATTTATTGCTTGGACATTTTTTTCTCTTGAGTGAATAAAGGCTTGTCACTTGTGTTCTCCACTTTCTGTGGATTTGACATGCTCTGTGTGCAGTAACTAAAGACATTGTAAGAAACAATTAAAGTCTGGATGTGATGTTGAAACTCTGTTTGGGTTTCAGATGTTGTAGCTCCGATTTCTACAGATGGACCATTTAGTTCATTTCAGGGCTGGCCTTCAGAGTTTGCTTTGTGCTGCAGTCTGCCTAACAATGAGCAAGGACACATGGGTTTCACTGAAGAATGGTCGGATAGTGAACAGAGTTTGAACTCAAGCATTGGAGGGCTGGCAGAATTAGACTACGAAAATGCAACCCAGTGCTGCATGTGGCCTGACAAAAATCGTACAAGATCTCAGAGTGAAGACAAGGAAGCTGAAGGTAAGACAACTAAATTAATTTCCTTACAGGCCCAGGATATCATTACAGACCTGGAAGTCCAACAAAAAATAATTTTTGGACCTCATCTGGAAATTCTCAGATTCTAATGAATATACCGTAAAACAAATACTCCTGGAAATGTGGTTAACAAGTGTATGCCTCACTCTGTTTTCCACAAGTGTATAGTTATTCGTTGTATACTGAGACACAACCTCAAAACAGCACAGCTCTTTAAAGGAACATTTGTATTTTACAACATTTACATTCTTCTTTGAGTTAATTATTTTTAAACATTGTTTGTCGAATAATGCAGTCCATGGAACTGACTCAGAGTATTGACATTTTGGTATTGTTAGCAAAATTATTAGAGGACATTAGAAAAGTACTAGAAGAACTTAATGCCCATTAACCAGTGAGTGCTGGTTTTCTATGAGGGAGAATTTCGGGGACAAGGCAACAACCTCTTTTGACCTTCCAATGAGAGAAAAATCTGAGCTTCATAACAAGGGCAAAGGTCACTCTGGCAATGTATGAGAAAAATGATCTCTTGCAGTGAGCTGTTCTGATCTCTTACCTTAGCTTTGAGGTTCTTTTCTCACATCCTGTTTGCAGTCAAAACAGACATGTTCATTAAATAACAGGTTATCTGAACTTGAAGCACAGTTAAAATGTAACACAAGTAATTTGTTTTTCTTTTGCCTTCTCTGAGCTGTTAATTTGTAAATGAAAATGGCAATGGCATGTTCCTAATAAGCCCCTTACAGAAAATGCTGGTAATTTAATTTAGCCTTGGACTGTGTTGAAGCTAACATGTTAATTGAATTTCTTTCAGTTTTCTGTTTGAACATCCTGTGCTGGGTTGATGGAAACCTGGAACATTTAATTTGTAATCTGAAGCCACACACAAAATATCCAGACAGGAGCAGGTTCCTTACAATTAGGCTGCGGTATTCATTGTAAGTATTGGGTTTCTGTCTGGCTCTTCATTTTCTGGGTAATATTTCCTTTTAATATGTTCACTTTACCTTTCATGAAAATTATATGCATTGTTAGTGTTTTTTTACATTTTGTTATGAAAAGGTTTTTGTTTTATTCATATATATATTTGAAAGAACAGTGTAGAAATATGTAGGTTCTTTGTCTGCTGTATGGCATTCCTGCGTTCTTGCAGTCCTGTACCATTAAATAAGACTCACATAGATCTGTTGCTTAAAATTCAGAATGGAATACCTATGGGAAAAGCTCTGATGCATCCATTAGGAATGGTTATGAAATAGAAAATGTCCTGTTTTTATTACAGATTGCTGTATATTAAGTGTTTTCTTTCAGATTGCTTTTCAGCATTATTATCTTTTAGCTGTGTTTTGCCAATGTAAAACCCAAGACCTTTTGGGCATGCATAAGAAACAAAATACTGCCATTATATACCGTACAGATTTTTAGAATGGCGATTGGTTTAGCTGTCTTTCAGTTTTGTATGCCAAACAGCAGAACTTTTACTTTCTCCCCAAGTCAAGTTTAAGATATTTTTCAGAAGCTTTTTTAAGCTGGAAAAGATAGAGATTTCCACAGAAATTCAGAAGCAAGTAGACTCAATGACTAATATTTGAGAAATACAGTAATAGCAATCCTGATGATATAAGCCATACTTTTGATGTACTGTATAAATAATGTTCATGTTATTCATGAAGTTAATCACATCATTAGTATGCTGTACTTAGTGCTTTATCACAGCTGGTGCTGTGTTTGGCCTGTTTTTTTCATGTCAGAACCCTCACTTCAATGTGTAATTGTCCTGTCCTATAAAAAGCAAAGTCGTTTGAAGCCCTGCATCTCTCAGTTAATACGTGAGGTTTATCAAAAACCACCTGCAGTCTTTACTGATCTGTGCAGCTGTAAGTTAGTCCATAGAGGACTCTACTGAAGTCTGACTTTGTCTAAGACTGATAGATACCTGGGGTTTATTTTAAAAAAAATGTAACATCTCTGATTGTAAAAAGCGCTGGAAGTAATTTCCACTAACAAGATCCATCTACTGCTTTTGAAGCTCTGATAAATCACACAGGCTCCATGTTTGAAGTGGTAAAGATTGTAAACGTAGACACATAGTGGTATTTTATTTGTTTTAAAATGTAGCATTGCCATGTTGAGTATTTATTTCGGGCTTTTTCATGTTTTCTTTCCTGTATTGCTGACGAGAAGAATTGAAAATGATTTACTATTTGCCTACTGAAACAGTTGATCTTGATATCCTTATATTTTAAAAATCCAAATATTCTGTATATATTTTAGGTCAGATTTTCACACAAGTGTTTCTTCTAAACAAAAAGAAGAGATTGTTTATGCTGCTGAAAGTAGCTGTGAAGGAGAGGACACCTTACGATGTGCTATACCTCTAAAAAGCCTGAATAGCACCTATACCTTGAGAGTTACAATCTCAGATGGCAAAAGCGCTATGGAATCACCAGCGATGCACATTGTCCCTGGAAATGTGGGTAAGTTATCATCATTTTGTTTAGAAAGACACAGTGTGTTTCTTTAATTATGCCTTAATTGGAATGTTATTTTGTGTTTGTTACATGTTATTCTTTAAAACACATTAATGTTAGATATGTACACAATATTAACAATAACTATTGGAATAAGAAAAACAGGTGGATAAATATTCAATATTTTACTTTGTTGACACACTCCAGTGTTGTTGATTGTCAAGCAAACCATCAGAAACTGCCACACTGCTTCAAGGCTTAGTTTTGGCCATGTGACACAAAAGAGCATGGAAACCAAAGCTTTACAGTAGTTACCAAAGTTACTACTCCCTTTGACTGAAGGCAGCCTAACTTAAGAATTCACCCAGTGCTGTAAGTAAGACTCTGAGAGTCTGATATTGTTGATAATAGAAGAGGTTGTGGAAGAAACTTGATGTCTCCAGAACTGGTGTCAAACTCCTGAGCATGAATTCTTTGTGTGACAGGTGACGATCATGTAGATATTTCGAGAAGACTGATCCTAGAAGTACAGGAGTCAGTGTTTTTTCCAGAACACTAAGATGCTCCTTAGCTCAAAATGGTCTCAGTAAGTGTGTAGCTACTTGCAAGCCACTGTGGGTGGCAGGAAACGATAAAACAAGGTTTGCCTGCCAAGCAATTATGTTGTAGCATGTTAGTGTGCTGCTGTATTAGGTAACATTTAATTTTTACCCAAAAGTTATTAATTCATGATGTGTGATTTGAATTGTATGTCCACGTTTTCCTTACCTTTCTTCTCCAGAACTACACCATTCATTTGCTACCAAATTGTGCTGTGTTAGCAGTTAAATTAGAATGGTTGATATATGGCAATTTACTATACAGTATGTAAAGTGTATCTGGTAAATCGCCACACGGGTCGCAAGTCATTCAGCAGCACAGACTACATTTACCAGCAGGACTAAAACGGCTGGTAATAGAAGACCTGAGATGCTCTTTTACCGCAGTTCATCCCTGACAATATCCCCAATCCAGTCATGAACACACACTAAAACACATTTACTTCCTTAGTATATTCTTCTGGTCTTCTTACTGAAAAATGGCGCCTCACCATTTGTTTGTAATACCCCCCAACAAACACCATGCCAAGCAAGAAATGTAATGGATTTGTACAAACTTGCACCTCCCACTCCTCAAATTCTCATAGTTTCCCCAAGAATCCCAGCTGGCAACTTCCAGATTACCCAGCTAAACACAGTTTTTGATGTTCATAATTACCTCCAGGTTAATCATGATTGTGTTGAAATAGAACCTTATTTCTGAGAGTTTATTTTGCCAACATTAGCCTTGTAAAAATGAAGCTTTGTTCTGAGGAGTTGATTTACAAGGGTGGACCCAGAGAAATGTGCATTAGATAACCCAAAAATTATTCACGAGGATATAAAACGAAAGCACATTAAAAAAAAAAGCGTTAAGTGGTTTGAAGAAAGTTCACGTGGTGTACATCTCTTTATTGTGCCAGTGTTACAGACTGTATCCAGATTTCTAAAGAAATTAATAGCACATGTTCACTGCTGTTACTGTAAAGGGGCTTAGTGCATGATAGAGATTAGTGTTGTGGACCCCTGACTGCTGGTTCATACAGTAGGTTCAATTCTATGTGCAGGTAAGCTGCTGCTCTACTCTTGAGTAAGGAATTTTGCTGGGTAGTAGGTTAAAAAAAATGTGATTTTACTTTCATTCATGTCTGAGCCTGATGCGCTCAAGTAATTGTGTTGCACAAACACTTACTCACCTCGTTAGTTGAGAGTGTTGATTGGACATGGGTGATGATGTGATTTAGCATTTCAATCCTGGTAAAAATGACTAGAGAAAAACACAGAAAGGAACCTGTACCCACTGCTAATCAAGGGGACTAGGGCTTTGTGCCAGTTTTAGCAACAGTGGAGCCATGTCTTCTTTAGCAATGAAGCAATGTTTTCTCATAGACTTTCCTGATGTTGGTTAGTGTGTTTCATATATATAGAATGATGCCCTAATTGTTGTGTTCAACAGACAAATGAATGGGGACATCTAAGTGTCAGATAGTGTGGACACAATCTATGGAACTGCACGTGTAGTTATTGATGTTAATCTCACTGCATGGCTCTACATTGATCAGTTTTTGGGATCTCATTACCATTCCAGTGGGTGCATCCTGACTGCACAACGTTTCAACTGGATAACATGTGGTCAGGTCACTAGTAAAACAATTGAGATAGAAACTCACACAATTGCATCTGCAACCTGGCATTAAGTAAAGCATCACTGAAGTCCAGCTTGTACAGCCTGTTGATATGAAATGTTAATCAGCATAATGAATTTTACTGTACCGTATCTGTTTAAGAATGTCAGTGCTCCTGTTGCAGAAGTTTTTTTTTGTCCTTTTCCTGATAATAACTTTGAATTTACTGCAGGTATTTGTAGTTATCTGCATATATATAACAGCTGGCATTTATTAATGTGCAGCTGAGCGCAGTCCAATTATTTTTCATACTTAAACCTAACATTCTAACAGAATTTCTAGTTGTATGTTTTCTCCT